CATATTATTCATTATTTCTATGTTATTTGTGTTGAATCACTATTTTGAATTCCAAATGTGAGCCATTTATCTGAAATCAATTCAAAGCTGATTTATTCAATTTGATTAAATAAAAGAAAATAAATTCTGGCAAGTTAATGTCAAACTTACATCACTCGCCAATTTCCTGGCTTTCATAGCATGCATGGTCTTCTTATCAATGCCAGAGTCTTCGTAGTGGCCCTTCATATCACTGATGTACTTCTCTTTGTACTTGTTCTGTTAAAGATGCAGAGAGATTAAAGAAAGCAAATGAGCATCCAAAACTCTCCGCACGATGATCTGTCGAAAAGCACAGTGGCTTGCTACATAATGGTAAAAGGAAAACTTACATCACTGGTGAACTTGGCGACTTTTGCAGCATTATGAAACTGTGGCGTGTCACAGAAATTGATGCTGTGACCTTTGGTGTTCTCCAGGTCCTTCTTATACTCCACCTGTTCCAAAAATACATCAAATTAAAGCAACGCTGCGGAACTTTTACATTTAACAGCTGATCCCAGGCTTTCTACAGCCGCTCTATCAAATACAGTTAACTCTGTTTAGAATTGTTCATTTGCCGCTCAGTTTCTTCGCTGAATATTGGAGATAAACCCTGGTTTCTAACTGATCTACAGTTCAACATTACTCATGAAGTCCCTGAGCCGGATTCTGGCCATGTCAGTCAGCTCCACACTTCTCCCAGGTGTCCGGGGTGAGGAGTGAGAATGAAAAATGAAACATTCTCCTTATTCCAAGTCAGTGAACCATGCCGCTAAATACGAAGCTGCTATTTTAAGGTAAAAAAAGATGGATGGTGTTTGAGCTTTGCAACATTTTTCAGAGCTGATCCTTCATGTCACAGAGCTGCCGGTCATTCCATTGCATGTTATGTGCTAAATATACATTATAAAACTATTCAGTCAACATCACCGACATCCATCATAACTCAAGAGTCAGTGAAGCAAAGCCGAAATCTTAATTACGCTTTACGAGGACACCATCATGACACTGAGAATACCACGCAGGGGGGAATTTGTCCGGTTAAATAAGAAAAGCAATGTTGGGTTTGAATAATGTGTAGTATGTTATGATATATCAATTCTGCTCATGGGCCTGTGTTGGGCCCCACTGGACAGGCATGTCAGAGATGCTGAAAATGTAGATTGAGTGGCTTCATGTCTGCTGGACTCTGACTCAGTATGTACAATATTTGAACACACACACACACACACACACAGACACTGAGCAGAAGGATTCGTGTCAGGAAATGCTTTGTCATAGACGTTATCAACGAGTCAGAGTTACAGGAGCGAGCAAACGTTAAAGCGAGGATCTGGTGATCATTGCCTTGAGAGGTCTCTAACAAACTCACCTCACTGACAAGCTTGTTGATCTTTCGGGCGTTCTTCAGAGCCAGATTGTCTTCGGATGTCAGACTGTGGAAGTGCGAGGTGCCCTTCATCTTGTTTAAGTCCTTCTTATACTTCAGCTGCAAAGGGGTAAAACATGATTTAGTGCATATACAGTAGGAGGACAACATATAGTGTTACTGCAGGATCAGGAGATTAGCAACACACACACACAGTCTAATTTGGTCGGGGTGGAGAGTTTAAAGCATGACAACATGGGAAGGCCTTGTCATTGTTGTCCCTCATTTATTCTGCCCAGTGATGACAAGGCCACAAGCTGCAGCTCTAACACTCGACATGATACCAGTTCACAACTGATCCTGGCTTCATTTGTAATCTCCCAATGTGCAAGAGTTCACACGCAGCAGCCTTGACAGCAGTAACTTCTTGTTAAGGATGTATTGTGCGTCTGTGAAGTTGAAACTCACATTACTTGCGTTCTCCTGGGCCTTTTTTGCCAGATAATAACCAGGAGTGATCATCGCAGGGAAACTCCCTTTGCCTCGTTGCTGCTCGTACTCTTCAGTGTAGGCAATCTGCAAACAGGGGAGCACGTGAAAAATCTATTCACATGTTGTCCACAACGTAAAGGGAACAAAAGTTATTCGTAAAGCACTGTAAACTATTTTCCTTCATGGACTGAGGTGAAAATCTTCTAAATATATATATAATTGCCTCTGAAGTCTTGTTTTGCAAGAGGTTTACCTGTATATTTGTGAGTTGTGAGTAAAACATGTACAATAACATTCTTACCTGGCTGAAGTTCTCTGCGTTTTCCCTTGCGTGAACTGACTCAGCTATCGCAGCCTCAGTGCTGGCTTTCCCCTTCATCTCCTGTTCGTACATCTGACGATACTTAATCTGGTTGGATGTGAAAAAGAACATTATCTGCTGTAAACCAATGATCACAGCTATGTAGCAGTGTTTGCATGTACTGTATATATGTGCATTTTCTCTGTGACTTACATCACTGGCCTGCTCAGAGGCCTTCTTTGACATCTTGTATCCTGGTGTAAGATGTGCAGGGAAACTGCCTTTACCTCTCTGCTGCTCGTACTCTTCAGTGTAGGCATACTGTGGGAAGTAAAGCAATGATTCAGGATTGACTGTTTTAACTGACAGACCAATTTAACATACTAGTGAAAGAGAAATTGAAAAAGCATCAGGCTGAATGAAAGGCTTACGTCGCTAACTATTTGCCCCTGTTTCCTGGCCAGAAGCACCTCTGGGGGGTCGACAAATGTTGTGTACTTTGAAACTCTCTCCTCGTGGCCTTTTTTATATTCCAGCTGCAGAGAAACAAAAAGACAAGAACTTGAGCTCATCAGACTCGTCACAAAGTCACACCAACCACTGATGGAGAAACTCTTAGACTTACACTACTGGCCAAGGTGTTGGCGTTCTTAGCAGTCATGTAACCTGGTGTGATCATGGCAGGGAAGCTGCCTTTTCCTTTCGACTGTTCATACTCCTCACTATACTTCACCTGCCACCCAACAAATCATTTGACCGACAGTGAGAGGTTAATTTAACCAGTCCATCATCAAAAAACATTGCCCTTATGAGATTTTAGATCAAGATTTGCGAATAAAATAAAAAATCGAAGGTAAAGTTGCCTCTTTAATGATCAAAAGAAAAGCAGTAACTGATTATTCTCAAGAATCTGGTTGAGGGAATACTCACATCACTGAGGGCCTTCTGTTCCTGAGACATCGTCACAATATCCTGACTGCTCACCGTGCCTGAATACCACATTTGCTGCTGTGAGAACTCAGAATGAGACTGAAAAGCCTGTTGGGATATTAAATACAAACCTGATCAATATCAGATATTCACAGCGATAAAGGCTCAGGTTTCACTTTGTTAAATCAGCCACCTGACCCTGTCTACTACTTCAGTTGTCAGCACTAAACTAACAACCAACCACATTCTAATGCTTTCCCAAATAGAAGAGCATAAGGGAGCACACATTACAACTGTCCTCCATGATCGCTGAAATAAAACTTAATAATACTTTTGATAATTTGGTGAACTTCTTGGATAATTTCACACAATTACTACGCATTTACAGAGTAGAGGGATACTGGGCATGAGGAGTAGGTTAGTTTGCTTTGTATATTAATGATAATAAGTTAAATATAATATATCATAAGTATATTAATGATAAGTATAGAAATGATATGTATAGATTTGGTGCAGGTCCTAATAAAAACAATGGAATTTAAATGTGGTTTCACAAGTGAACTGTTGTGCCTTAGGTGCTATTCTAGTTTTTTGAGTAAAGATAAAGATTTGGGGCAGGAACTCTCTTTAACTACAAGTAAAAGGCCAGTTGCTCTACCGGGAGCTCACCTGGCTGGCCATCTGTTTGGCTAGCAGAGCCTTCTCCAGCTCCATGGACCTCATGTCATAGTGGAACGTGGACATAAAGCGCTCGCCATCTTCACGATACTTCAGCTACAAGTGCACATAGACGAAAAGCATTAAGCCAAGACCAGCAGACATTTGCACACGTACATGCTGCACAGCGTCAGTATACTCTGCAGCACCCAGTTTTGTGGTGGGATGCACAAAATGTAAACAGGTAACAAAGACAGCCAGCCTTGAATAATGCAACCCTGAGTCCAGCACCAACCAATCACTCTGTTCTTATGTAATCAGACCTGCACCACTCATGCGTAAAGAGATAATATTAGTGCGCTGTTATTAATAACTGAGATCTAATGAGAATGAAGCTGGAGCTATGAGGAAAGAGTCAGAATAGAGCATCAAGTGACGAAACTCTGAACTGTTTGCTAACGATCCTTGAGATGTCAATGTGTTCAAAACTGAAATTAGATTAGCTGTAATGCAGGGGGTGTAATCCAGATGATGACAGACTTCTCTGGAGCATCAGTGCTAAAGGGCAAATATCAAACATGTAACACAAGCTTCTATTATGATAAACAGGATGTTGAATTAAACTTTCCCACCTGAGCCCCAAATTTTAAACTCAGTGAAAACAAGCTTGAAAAGTTATAAAAACCCAAGCATGGCCTGTAAACTGACATGATTTAATTCACCTAAAGTTCAGTCTTATTTCCCTCCAGTGGCTTACAACAGTAGCCTGATGAGCTTGCTAGCCTTCTGCCAATATAAGCATACAAGCATTGCATGACCTCGTGGACGCAGACAGACGGAGACGGACGAGAGCAGGTGGCAGGGCAGAGGAGAGGAAGGGATGTGAGGCTGTTTTTCCTGACGTATAATTTTAGCCGGCTGAAGTGGGCTCAGTAGAGGGGTTGTCTCGCCTCAGTCACGGGCCCAGAAATAACCCGAGCCGCACTCTCCATTCCACATGGCTGCCGTCACCACGGACTCGGAGCAGCGGTCCTCCTCGTGAGGAGGCAATAAGACAGTTACAAGAGCCCAGGGTCAGATCTTGAACTTTCTGACCATATGTGTGTTAATAGGTTAATAAAATAATAATAGAAAAGGCAGAATTGTCCAGTTCCTATAACATTTTGTTGATTTTAGTATAATATCAGTATACTAAAATGTAGGTTTATTTAAATTCTGCTGTAATGCATCCATCAATGCCTTCTTTTCAAAAACAACAATGACTTAAACTCACACAATGCCTGCTATGAATAGAGGCGTCCACAGTAATCCCTGCAGTCATGACCAACCAATGATGAATGATCATTTCTCTCCTGCCTTTAACAGTGACTGATGTCAGCCTTGACTCAGGGCAAGGCTGAAATGTTTCACCTCATGCTGTTGCTGCTGTGTTTTTACAGGTGACATCATCTTACCTCACTGCTCGCCTTGCTCTGCTTCTTTGCATTGATGTTGATGGGGGTCTCGTAGACACTTGTGAATGTGTTGTTCCTTGGATTGTGTCTGCAGGTGAGGAGATATATAGAAACAGACTTCATTCCCAATTTTCAGTTTACCAAGGTAAAAAGGGAAATAGTTTCACATCAAAATGTCCTCTACATATAGATGTTGGATCCGTTTTATGGGAATATGTCCAAACTATTTTTTACACCATCAGTCGTACTTACACAGAGCAGTATGGCCTCTTCTTGTGGCTGACAAAGTTATTGGCAGTGAGGACCATCTTACAGACGTCGCAGTGAAAACACGCTTTGTGCCAGTTCTGACAAAAGAAAATAAAAATAATTTCAACTCAACTTCTGATCTCAAACTTTTCAAATGTTGCTTCAATCAGTCAATCTATAATCCATCATGCAAGGAAGAGAAAATCTTTACAACTTGGACGGGCAAGTTTGGACTTTAAATTAACTAGGCCCAAAATAACAACAGCGATCACAGCTCTTATTCCAAATGGACTCGCTGACTTGTTAAACTGTCAAAGTGTTTAAGTGTCTCCTCTTTTCTGACCAGGAAGTTCATTTTTAAAAGACAAATATCTCACAGGGACATTTTTCAATGCTAAACATGTGATATCAATAATCTATGGAACGCACTCTTACACTGAAAGAAATGGTTAAGTACATTGAAAAAAGAAAAAATGTTGGATCAACTTTTTAAAAATTATTTGGTTATGCAGATATGAATTGTTTGTTCAAATTAAAGGTGACAACTGTGAAGTATTTTCAAGTAAAAATAAACTATTAAACTATCTGTTCAGAGTAACTTTAATGTTGGTATTTTTAGGTTGTTCGCCTTTTTGTGTGATAAATCTAAGTCAGACGAACCAGTTTACTATTGTAACACATGATGTCCTCCACCTACCTTAGTTTCAGACACAACAAATGTGTCGTAAGAAGTTGATTAAATATGTTAAAAACCGTTTGTACCATTTTACTCAAGTGGTGACTTTCCTGTTGCTTTGCTTTTAGTTTTACTCGTATTTTAGAAAATATATCTCAGACTAAACTCTTTTGCTCAAACATCACCAGACACTCGCTCCTCTCACGACCTTTGGGTGTTACCTGGTCAATGCAGTTGATCTTCTCAGCTGGATAAACCACAAACCTACACCTGGCACAGGACTGCATGATGAATGCTTGTCCTTTTCCTCAAAAATCTTCAGAAGAAATAAATATCAAAAGAAAAGGGAACTAGAGTGAAATCCCTGTCGCGCAGGCAGGCAAAAGGAAGTTCAGCAGAGGATCAGGCAGTGACTCTTCGACACTTGTGCGTCTCTGATGGTGGTAAACGTAGCTCTGTGACTGTGAAACTCTGTCAGTGTCTCTTACTTGACACCATGTGTGATGGACCAACCCCCTTCCATGCCCCATCATGGTGGAGGGCTGGCGGAGCCCAGCTGTCTGGTCTGCAGGAGGAGAGAGAGACCGAGTGACAGAGAGTTCAGATGTCACTGTATGTGAGTAATGATCCTGAGTTGGACAGCGAGTTCAACTTCTGGCATCTGAACAGAAGAAATAAGTGTGTGACGCATAGACCAGTGTTTTATAAAGGTGGTGATTCAGTGTGATTGGTGTATCTATTATTTAGCCTACTCTCATTATTATAAATGTGGTGGACTAATAATAGAAATACCTACCAGTCTTTTACACAGAACAACACAGTTCCAAAATGGCCAAAGATTTAAATCAGAATCTTTTTTACAAGTTTCAACCAGAACTCAACAGCGACTTCATTTAGCTTTTTTATTATTATTGTGTAAGCTAAATATATTTCATTTATCATATATAGTGGATATGTATAAGTGTATAAATTACATTATTTTAAATAATGATTATTACAGCTGTTCTTTTCTCATCAGATATGTAGGTGTCTCAAATATTCATTAAAGCAAAGTTGTGCAATTACCTTAAAATAGAAGCTTTAAAATTAGTTTGATGGTTTACTGACTTGGAATAGGTAGAATGGTTGTCCTGCAAGAAGTGTATAACTGACCGATAGTCACAGCTTAAAAGGATGATTCACCTTAATTGAAAAATCACTCATACTGAATGCTCGGCCACGTGCGGGGGCAACGTGCACACCTACGGCAAAGCTTCAGTGCAGAAGCATGAATCGGCCTTTATTTTGACGAAAGTAAAAACCAGTGTTCATCTCCAATATTCAGGAAGCCGGGGATCGTGGGTAATACCCACTGTCCAGTTGTATTTCATAATTGTTTGCTTGTGGAGCCCGACAGAAGTCATCATCCCACGCGCCTGCAGAGGGCGCTGGTGCTCGGTAAAAGTGACACAGCGCTGCTTTAACAGGAACACCTGGCAGCCCCGGCTCTGACGCACGGCTCTGACGTAATGACGCACGGCGGACACGTCAAGCTCTTTCACTTTCTCAAGTTTTGTGAGGAACAGAAACTCTGCGACGGAGACAGAAACTAAAACGACTGGTTTTTCGACACCACAGCTCCTACGACACGGTGTCAGCACACGAACAAGTGGAACGTAAGTTCACGTGAAAGTGTTTTGACTTCGACAAGCAACAACTCGTGTTTATCAGCTAAAAAACAGCTCAGCTAGCAAAGCTGGGTGGATCAAAGGACGCCAGCTAACAACAAAGGTTGTTAGCTGGACGCTACTTTATAATGCTATTAAACTGCTTGAACAACTAGCATGTAGCGTTAAAACACTGTTAGCCTTCAGCGCAGTTGTTTATAAATCAGTGCTGACGCTGACGTGTGGTGACCCCCGCAGATGGCCGCAGGACCCGCGGACACCACCGGACTGGAAGATGAACCAGAGGAGGAGACAACTGGAGACGAGACAGACGCCAAACCAGACCGCAAAGGAAGATTCCTGCTGTTTGGGAGGTGGTTTACTTTTTTTTAAATTATCTTACATCTACTGGACATACTTGTGTAGTTTCTGTCACTGGGGAATTGGATTGTTTTAAATCCGGCTTTGCAGACTTTTGATGAGAAACAAGATCTGTGTCCTCGTGCCCCATCTCCATCTGTGCACATTCCCAGACCTACCCTGATACACTTGTAATGGTAGTTTGAAGTTGTCAAAGGACAAACACACGCACACACCTCAATATTTAAACACTGATGTAAATATAGCTCATTTTGATTTACTTATCATTTCCATTAAGCTTAAAAAATGTATGATTCCACACTTATTGTATTTCTTGAAGCACATGATCCAGTGGCCCATCAGCCCATCAATCTGGTACATTGTTCTTTTGCATGTGCCGGACCATGCACTGATCACTATCTGCTGTTTAACAACATTGTTAGAAGTTAGTGATGTGATAAGTCAGATAATTGAAGGACATTTGGCACAAAAATCAAAGAAGAACATTTCTGGAGGTCTTGATGACATCATAGGCTCACTTTGGAGAAAATGTGCTGTGTCAATTTTGGGTTTTGCTAGTGATTCTTGCCATGTGTAGTTGTTTTGTTTTGTCTTCAGACGGCTATGACTTGACTGTTTTGTAGCCGCAATCCTGCATCTCTTTCCTCAGAGTGTTTGCCCTCTATATGAACTCTCGTCCCACTGTCAGGGTTCACTGGAAGGGTGTGGTTTTTTTGGTTTTTCTTCTTCCCCTTTTCACTAGTAGTAATGATCCTGTGCATTTTTCTATTATGATATCCAGTTGAGGTGAAACAGAAATGAGACTTGCTTTGTTTTAACAGAAAATTGGCTCATATGTGCTATTGTAATTCCACTAATGGTTGTTGTTAACTATATTTGCTCAAACTAAATGTGCACAGACAGTCATATTTATTTGTTCAAAGTTCAACAGCAATAATTATGAATTTAGAAGTCAGCAGTTTGAGAAAGATGAACAATTTTGTACGTGAGGGTTTCTCTGCTTCTCCTTTGCTGTAATAAAAACTTGAAAAACCAAAAAGTAAATGAATTCTACCCTTGATTTGACACAGAACACAAGTTTTGGATTGTCTAATTAGGATTGAAGACAATCTTAAAGTCTACAGCAAGGCCTTAAAAATCAGTATGACTGAATTGGCCTCTTGAACAATGCCTTGTATCTGAGTTCACTGACCGACATTCAGTAGAAACATCTGTTTATTCCAGTCACAAGGTGGCGCTGTGATCCTTTGTAGTAGAGGAACACTTCTCACATGTTTCTCTGAGACACTGGTAATCAAACATAAAGCAAGCATTTTACCTTAAAATGTATTGATAACATTGGATGACTTTCTATTTCAACTTATAATAAAAAATATAAAACAATGAATCATAAGCATTTCAAAGATAAAGATTTATGCTAATGAACGTTTTTTAAAATCAAATTGTTTAAATACAAACAATTTGGTAGTATATTAAAAAATTAATATGCATTTAAAGTTTTTGTAATCTGCTGAATGCTGCATATTTTACACAGCCATGCAGTCATGGCTGCCTTATGATGTAGTACATAAAACACACAAACTGATGTGCATTTGTCTAGTACCAGGGTGTGCTTCTTTTCCATTGGAAGAACATGACTGGGTGCTCGTGGTCTTTGTATTTCATGCTTTATTCAGGCCTAATCTTTATTTAATTAACCTAGGCACCATGAACAGATACTCTTCGGTTAGCAGTTAAGTGAGATGGCAATTTTTTCAGGAATTGTGTTTTTGTGTGTCGTTGTAGCGCTTCTTGTCCATCTCATGTAAAGTTTGAAGTAGTGTGGCACTCACAGTATGTATATAGGTACAGGTGGATTCTGCGCTTGTCAGCACAGGAGCAACTTGTTGCCCTGTCTGACCTCAACAGGGAGCGAGGTGCAGGGGCCATGTGTGAATAGTCCTTTAGAAAGCACTGGTGTGGTGGCTAGGCTGCTGACTCAGGGGGCTCACAGTGCGCCGCCCCTGTCCTCAGCACCCGCTGGCCCAGTCAGGTCTCCATCCAGTACAGAGAGCATGTCAGTAACCTAGCACACAGCCCATGATTAAGCTGCCAGGTCTGGAGGAACTCTTTTGGGGGAAAAAAGAAAGGAGACAAAACCAACGCGTTTCAGATGCAGAGTGGCGTAGCGCTTAATGACGAACCCAGGTAAGACCCTCAGAACCGCCTCGCATTCCTCCTCACTGTCCTCCTACCTGCTGCTCTTGCTGCCTTGTCCAGCCCACAGCAGAACAGAGTCGCAGCTCTTTGCCCACCCTCTTGTGATTGTTCGTTACAGTATGTTGGCACAGTTTGGAGGTGGGAGGGGAAGGGGGGGGCCTTCAACAAGTTCTGGATCACATGTTTATCAGAATATGGCCGTGCTGCCTGTGAGTGTATGTACATGAGTCTGTTGGTCCACATTGCTGTGTATTGTTTCCCTGCTTGAGTCACCTGATGACTAGGCTCTTCTGGAACAAGCCTGGATTTTTGTAACCCCACAGTGGGCCACTGTTGGCTTCGCTATCTGGATGGATCTTTTAAAGAATGGAAATATGACAGGTCTGTGAGAATTGCCACTCGCGGAAGATTTCCTGTCACTCAATCTACTTTCATGTGCTTAGGGTGTTTTAAAATCTGAGCTAAGAAAAAAAATGTTCTAGTTTCTTCTTTGGCCCATCGGTGGATTACTGCGACCAAATTTGGCTGAGACATTAATGCCTTATTTGAAAATGTATGTACTCTTTGGTTTCTGAGTAAGTGGATCAGAGTGTTTTCAGTTCTCATGTTTTACATAATTGATATACTATCAGATGGATATTTACTATTTACCTGTGTTGTGCTGAAGTAACTGGTGTGTGTTGGAACATTTTAACATAAAAGACACTGTCATGTTCTTTGAAAATATTTTCTCGGAAAAAAACTAGTGTAAGAGACACTCACATAGTAAGATCTTTAAGTGTGAATATTGTTATGCATGTAAATTGTTTTTTATGTTTTCTTCATAGTTATAAATTGTAGCAGCTGAACTTCCAAATACTTTCTACTGTTTAAAAGTCAATAATATTCCAGCAATTTGGAGTTTGAGACATTTGATAATTCTAAATATTCTGTTTCTCTCTAACTCCACCAGTAAGAAGAATAAGGATGGCCAGACGCGGGAGCAGGACTACTCTTCTGAAAGCCATTACAGAATCGTTTCACCAACATTCCAGTATAAGATGAGCCACCAGCGAGTGGGCAAGTGCGTCATCATCAACAACAAAAACTTTGATGAAAAGACAGGTACAGCACACATGTACACCTAGTGAAATTTCACCTGATATTGTTGCGTAATTACAGTGTATTCAAAGCAACCCTTTTCAACAGGGATGAATGTACGCAACGGCACAGACAGAGACGC